TAAAACAAACAGTCATGGCGTTAGATACTATTATTTCCGTTAGAAAGATACTAAGTATTATCAGAAGAGTTCACTGCTCATTTCGCATTTATCAGTATCATACGTACCGCTGAAAAAACAAGTGACGACACTTCATGTTCTTAATAGTTGTATTGTCCTGAATTATTGACAAATAAAGAGAGTGACATCTGTAAACGTTGTCAAGGCCCTAAGGTTTCTGCTTATCATTGATTTAATTCAAGATTCAATCATGATTTGATGACCCAAAAATACTGTCAAATTCTTTTTGATGTTTACAAATTATATAATTATGATGTATCGAAATGTAGTTTTTGCTTTCATTTAGTAATGATACACAGGGAAAAAAAGTATGATACTAATTAACCAGCCTATCTAGCATAAATTTAAAATGGTGTATCTTATGCATCATATGGCCGTTAATTAGGAAACTCGGCAAAATGTCACACTGTAGAAAAAACAAGTTGATTTCTTATTTGATGATATATACCACAAGCTTACATGAAAAACATGTCAAGTAAAAACTAAGTTTATACATAGGCTTTTTCTGTCTAGTAAAATTTTGATTTCCTACACGTTTTTGAAGAAAATATCATTATAATTTGCTATCACAAATAAAAAACCTGAGGAAGCTACTGATAATTATATAAGGAGATAATGTACTGAATCTTATTACGAACTTATCATACAAATGTTCAGCAAGTGTTCCAAGTAAATGCACATAAGTGATCTAAATCAGGTTTTGACGTTACTACACTCATTATGTTGTTTGCATTTTTTGAGACTTAACATTAATTGAAACAACTGACAGTTTTAAGTGAAAGGAAATTACACAGTGGTCACCAGAAATGGAAGTGGATAAAGTTCAAGCTATATCATGAACTGACAGAAGTGAAGGAATAGCTTAATAGTGACTTACGTATATAGAAATCCGTCACAGTGTAACTAGCATTTGTGCTACACAGAATTGACCGACATTTTTTAAAGCTTCCTCAGGTGTATTGGACTGCATTATATAAATAATTTCAGTCAGATTGAGAAACTAATAGTGCTTAAACTGCTACAGGGAATAAATTAACTGATTTCATAGTATTCATGAATCTATAATTATTTTGCCTTTGTTAAGGAAGGTTCAGTCGTGACATTAAGGAAGAATTGTGACCAACAGTGGAATTGTGGACACATGCTTCATCTCATCTGGGGGTTTTAAACTGAATTTACTTGCATCTTAAGGAGCAGCAGCATTTCTACAGTGATTCTATCTAGCATCGTTGTTTTAAATCACCGAACTGTTATCTACTAGGCTTTCAAATTACAATAATCAATCCTTTTGAGCATAGAATGCAGTCAACTGGATCTTTACCTCAACTTCAGTGACTCTGAAAAGACCTTCGATAGTATCGACTGAGAAGGAATTCGGCAGGCAGCTGCTTCAACGCTACGGTTTTGGTGTCACAAACCTATATCAGTCTCATTCAACAGCTATATGCCTTATGATGTTACATGCCAAGTGATTCACAATGGAAAGCTCAGTGACGCCTTTGGAGTGAAGACAGGAGTGAGACAAGGTTGCCGCCTATTATCATCGATGATCTTCCTGGTTAAGGTGGACTGAATCATGTAGGAAACTGTGACGAGAGAGAAAATGGAGACTTGCTGGACTGAAGATTTGGATTTTGACGCCTATGATGATTTATGTCTGATGTCTTGTCGCACAAACTCGAAGATCGACAGCAGAAAACCAACAAGTTGGGAGAAGAGACAGGGCAGAGAAGGAAGACGGGATTTTCTTCAGGTGACTGTAGAGAAGACAGAGGTGATGAAGATGCCCAACCACCATTACCACCAATGACAACGAGAAGCACCAATCACCAGCAACAGGAGGAATCTGAAGGAAGTTATCTCTTTCACCTACGCATCTAGCCAGCATAGTTTCAACTGCAGGCGGCACAGGTACACATGAGGATATCAAAGCCAGCATCAAAAAGACAGCACGACAAGTCTTCATTACTTTGAAATCAATGTGCAGATCCACTGCACTGCACAGCGCTGCGCCGCGCTCAGCATAAAGCGTGAACGTCATCTGCATTTTCCACACTAATTCAGCCAAGTAAGGCAGTGCTACTATGTGATGGTTGATGGTTGTACTTTACGAAAAGCATTTCCAAAAAACTACAGACATTCATCAACAGCTATCGCCTACGCTCACTCGATACTGAAGATAATGTCAGATGGCCAGAACAATAACAATAAGCAACAAGGAACTCACTCTGGTTGACAACGATTCAAACAACGACCCATCGCCCAACAAATGTGCAGAGGAAGAAAGTGAAGATGGATTGGGCATTCACTGAGCAGACTATTTGTGGACATCACGGGCCAGGCCAGGTCGTCGAGTGGAACCGCATGAGAAACGACGAGTTGGGCGTCCGAGGGTGACATGGAGGCAATGGTGTGAAGAAGAAATGAAAGCTTGTGGGGAGTGGTGGAGCCTGGTTCAAAAGACTGCGGATAGCAGAATGAAATGAAGACGTGTTAATGAAGTTCCATGTTTCACCAGGAGCCCAAAGGACAAATAATAATAATGATCCTTTTGGGATTTCTACGGTTACATATTATGATTTGCTACACCGAGTAGTTGTTGACGTTGACCTAATTGGTCAGTCTCTGACAGCGAGTTAGCCTCTCAGGAGATGCCTCAATATGCATTGTAATTTCGGCTGAAAAGTTTCAAATTGGATGAACCACCCACCAAACATTCTACTGCTAGTCGCTATTCATTCTCAGGGTCAAAATAAAATCATTAGCTTTATCGAGACATCTGCGCAAGAAGCCGCACACTAACACATCGATCACTTCGGTCAAAACCAATCAACAGCAGGAAATAACATATCATAATATCGTAGTTAAGTTTTATTACTAAATTTTAATGTATCAGGTATCAAGCTATTTGGTTTATGACTCTCAGAACCATAACATTATAAAGTAATATACATAAGATTTATGAAACACTTCAAAACAGTGAACAACACTCTTCTTTTGCAAATACTCACTAACAACCACTGAACAAAATCATTTTCACTTTTCTTAAGGCTTAATAAGAAACGGATTACTCCCATCTGTATTTGGAATGCACTACCAGTTAGTAGTAGAAGTTGTATTACCTATAGAAATAGTGTCAGAAAATGTAAACTTAGTAGTAGTAGTACTTGTTGTGTTCAGTAAACGTTTGACGAAGGTTTATCTAATTTCATTCTAATGTAAAAAAAATTTGATCCACATAAATAAACATAACTAGTGGGAAACATTTGCAATTTTTAGCATCACGAAAAAAACAAAATCGTGAAAAACGACTGACTACGAAAAGTTACTGTATGTCAGGCAAGAAATCTTCACTGCACCATAAAAAGTTTTTCAGGTAAATATTATGAAAGTAAAGCATGAAATAAGGCGAAAACTTTCAATAAATCTAGCATTTATTTATCATTTATTACATTATAAGTTATGTGTAGATATTTGCTCGGATAAGTGACAGAATGAATGCTAATGTGTATCCCCTTGAAATGGTCTCTTATCCCATAACGACCTTATTAAATTACCACATAGTCGAGAAACATCATTAACTGTTTACAGACTAGAAAAGTTCACGAAACCCAGGATATATATACACATTTTTCAAACTTTTAACAAACATGACATATTCACTTTTAAAGAACAAATTATTGTCAGTCTTATTCAGCGTTCGATGACAAAAGTGCCAATTATAAGAATGAATCGTTTGAACTTCAGTCAGCCATGCTATGACCTGCAAAATGACTACTTCAAAGCTCCATAGCTAGAGTTATATCATTTCGTTTGTGCTTACTAGTTGATTATTTAGTATAAATATAAAAAGTAATCGTTTAAAACTAAAGAAACACCTTCAGATCTAGACGGACCAGCAGAATCAGCTCATGTTCTTCATTCTTATGATTATTGTCAAGATAATTCATCGTACCTGGAGATAACTGATCATATAAGTATAGCCGGTAGGCCGGTTAGGTAAAAACGATAACAAAATGATGATTAGGATCTAACAGGGAACAGAACTAAAGTGTGATTACTTAGTCAACAATAAGTGTAAGTGAATCTGCAGTCATTTTCTTGTGAAAAGTGTTTTTTATTACTGGTTAACATCAGCTGAAGAATCACCAAACTATGAATGTACAACACACTTTTTTTCTCATGATCTGAGACTTTTCAGCTTCATTCACTGAACAGCATGACAATCGTCCAGAAACATCAACGGATATCTGTCCTTGACTTAACTAACTTCACAGGTTATGGTTTCTCATTTAAATTCCAGTAAATTCGTATCAAAGCGAATCACTTACGACCATTAAACTTCAGTCAATACTTTTTCTAACACCTGTAATGAATAACCCCACTGCGTTGAAAATTATACATAATTATTTTAGCTACGTAGGGATAATTTTCACAAAAACAAAGCCATCCACATAGACCAAGCTATATATCCTATAATCAATAGCCATGGTTACCAGAAACATTTTTCGAGAACTGTTTCTGAATGTGTCAGTTTCCACTGGTGGTGAAAAACAAAAGTGGGAATAAAGAACTGTACAGTGTATTATGAACATAAATGCAATCTCATGGGTCAGTCACCTAAGGGCCGTTGATTTTACCTCTGTTATGATAGTGCTTTTTTGATTCCTATTATCATCTTTATGATGAAAGAAGAAAAAGGTCAGTGAATTTTATTGAAAGCTTTCCAGAATAGTGATGTTGACGATTTCTATGACTTAAGGTATCACATTTTGTGTTGTGAAACGAATAATGCTGAAAGGACTTTGAAGTACTTTGCTTAACCTCAACTTTTTGAACAGCCATTATTTGAGTCATATCTCAGCTTTCACTGGAAGAGCATACAAAGTAATTATAAAAGTAATAAACCCATTGAAAATAATCGCTTTTATTTGACTTGCCTTCTCCTTTCTTTTTGATAAACGTTCATTTCTTTTGAATGATAATACTTCTTTATCTAGAACAGGCACAGATATATCTGTTGTGTTATACTGAGTCGGTTTCTTCGGCTGTCTATGTATGATTTTAGACTGATCAGATTTGCTGACAGAATCTGAAGTTTCTTCTTTTTGTTCAACTTCTATGCACCTTTTAGGTTCACATTTATCAACCAGTGGAGGAAGTTGTAAATGATGATGAGAAGGATACATAGTTTGTTCTTTAATATCATCAACATTATGTTTAATCTCTGTTACTGTTCGCAGTTTCATGCTTTTCTGATCTTGCAGTATATCTTTATGTGGATTGTCACTAAGCATAGATTGCAGTTTTGCTTGCTTATCTACAGCTTGGCGTAAATTATCCAGTGCTGATATAAGCCTCAGTTTTTGTGAACGCTGACCTGAGTGCGTTTTATGGCTAGTTTTATAATTGACACTAGTTTTCATCTCACCACTAGAGTAGTTTGAGACAACTGATAAGTCTGAATCGCTATTGTCCTCTTCTTTTTCATCTTCACTGTTATATTCATCATCATCATCTTCCTCTTCTTCTTCTCCTGAATATTCAGACTCTTCTGTAATCTTTAAGCCTTCTTCACTTAAATCAAGAGCCAGTGAGGATTCTCTTCGAGATAATATATCTTGTATAAAAAGTTTGTTGAAATTAATTGACATTGTTGTGCAATGAAGAAGGAACTTGAAAATTTACAGACAGGTCAGTAGTTTTGCGTTTACATATAGTAATTTAAGTATATACACTCTTGCGAGAGAAATGATCATCCTGTACAAACGTGATAATCTACTAATATAACTTGTCACTAGTTAACATAATATTCAGTGGTTTCACCTCCAGTTTTTGTTTCTTTTATGACAAACAGCCTATTTTCAGAAAATCTAAATTTCTTAGACTGAAAATACACAGGACCTATGTAGACATATACTTCTATTCAGATACAAATGCACACCTAAATGCCTACACAAAATACACTGATGTGTGCGTACGTAAACGTTTGTGACTTCAAATGTATATCGTAAAGCACATTGGTAAATCAAACACTCAAGGTTTTTCAGATTGGTTGGAAATGTAGCTACTGATTTTACCCATGTGATCAAATGTGATTGGTTCTTTTGAATTTCCCGGTTGGTGTCAGTAGAAACAGTACAAGATGATTAAAGATTCACGGTCTAGCAGAAAGACTTAAGCATAATTCTAAGTCTTATATCATAATTTTTGTTTTATTCTAATAATTTAAAGTACACATCTTTTAAATTATATGTATTTACTTAAATGAAACTATAAACGATAACAGAAAATGATCTGCATTTTTGTTCGATTACATCGAAAGCTTAAAATGTGAGATTTAATCCATGAATATTGTGTTTAATGATCAGGTATTTTATCTTGTCAACAACATATCACACTACACAGAATGAAAACTATGAAACTGAAAAACAGTTTCATCAAACAGAAGAATACCAGGGACCTAAATAATCAAAAAGGTGACACTTGAGAAAGCGCACATACTTAAAAAGATACTTAATAAAGGTCTATACAACCAGAAACCTAAAATGTTTCCTTGTCAAACCATGTTACTTGACAATATCAAGTTGTTTTTATTTTCATCCTCTTGATGTCCCAATGTACAAGTTACTAAGAGGATGTCACAGCACAACATCTTCAGTGTCTCTCAGTAAGAAATTATACATCAAGGCTTGAGAAACGGCACAACTGTCTGTCAATCAAGTTCATTACTGGAGCACTCAAATCAAACATAATTGAGTCTGGTGAACAATGTACTTGAGATCAGCAATTTATAAAAATCTGCTGTAAAGTAGAAGTTTGACAAAGTAAAAAATTTCGATGGACTTTATCACGTCCACTGTATATGTTGCTTCACTTACTGAGTTTATAGATGCCGAATCTAATTAGATTATATTTATTCCATGAGATAAAGCACTTAACAATTAAGTGATGTTCAACTTTCAAAAATTGAAGCTGTATACATCTCAGTACTTTATAAAGTTCAAAAGACAGAAATGTCTTTTCATTGCATTATTTGTGGTATATCATCATAGTTGATGTATGTTGGAGTTAATCACTCAAGACTGCGCCAGGGATATGGGTCAAAAAACCCGTGCACTTTCTACACTTTAATGTTTTGATGGTGTTGTGTTCTCTGACCTGGACTGTATAATCGTAGGGCTTTCGTTGTCGTTCCAGACGACATCATCAGCACAAACTTAAGAAAGAAGTGAGAAATAAGGTCTTCTTAACATGAACATGAATATCAACTAGCAGTGAAAAGTCATGCCATATCTTCGTTCATACCAATGCCCACAGACAACTGTGTACATGCATCTGACTGGGAAAATGTGAAAATCTTAGACAGGGGGAATACAAAAAGTGCTAGACAATTTTTAGAAGCATGGTATTTAGGTCAGTCAGCAATCAACGGTTATATTGACATTGACCCAATCTACCAACCAAAAAAAGGTCAAATTTCAGGTCATCAGAGCAATCAGTCAAAATTAACATAGAGACAGTGGTAAGATCTTGGCAGAAACAATCAACCACACACAAGGACATCAGGACAGGCTACTAAATAAATTGTGGAGAAAACCTTATTGCTCACTTCTTTCTGAAGTTTGTACTGATGATGTTGTCTAGAATGATATAGAAAGCTCCATGATTAAACAATGCAGCTCAGAGTACACAACACCATCAAGATTATCCTCCTGAGTTACAAATACTCTCCATCATGTTCTAATGTTTTCTGGGCTCTATATTGATTTAATATCTACCACGTTAGATGAGTTGCTTTTTGCTAACAATATAATACATAGTGATAAACACACATTTAGGTCACATTTAATCATGAAATCTCATCGTGGTTTCCTCTGATAGCTAAAATCTTGATTCTACAGTCTGTGGTATGTTTGACAGCATAAATGACATCAACATCACTTGCATGACATCTGAACTGTATGTCAGGTATCAATAATCTGCTCTAGAAGCTTGTCAGAGTTCACGTTATTTTGACGATCTCATTTTGGAACTAAATACATTCATGGACAACACTGATGCACTCAACTCCATACGAGCAAAGCTAACGTCGGATGTACAGACTACTCTAATCCAACTAATAAACATCACTCATCAGCACAAATTAACTTAAACTAAACAAGAAATATTAGTTATGGATAGTGGCTAGTAGTGGAATCCAGGAAGCCTGTTCTGTCCTATTTGGAACTCATCAGCTGGATATACCTGCCTTCTAGTGAACGATGTTGTTCCCACTACGAATCAAACTCAAAATCAATCACTGCAAATGCTAGAGTGTTGCCCACTGGATCACCCAGTCACGACAGCATCAACACTAAATAGGAAGTGGTTCTCGTGCCCAAGTGGTCCAGCAGATAATTCCTTGTCCTTCGAGGTGATGGGTGTTTTGCTTGAGTCTCAGTGGCAGCTACATCACTCACTAAGATGAAGGTACATTCAGCTGACGGAACCCAAATCCTTTAAAACCCCCGTCCTGGTTTCCACTGCTAGTCACCAAGCTTACTGTTTCAAACTACTTATGTTAGTCAGTAGTATATGTCACTTGGTTGTATTTTCAGGAGTGACAAAAGAGGTTAGTGCTGAAAACGTCAGTATGGACAGATCACATTGGACTTAATGTGTAAGGTGACTGACTTGTGGCCTCTTCCAAGTATTGAGGTATGAACTACCTGAATGCAGACTGTAAAGAAGCGAAGCCGCACTACTTTCGTTTAGTATAACCTTATAGAAGTCTCATTTCACATGTACTCTTCTCAGTTTGCTTTGTCAATCTGCCACACTCAGACAGTAAGCACACCTTACTTTCTTCACGAGTGAGAGTTAAAAGCAGTTTATTTTAAACCAGCTTCAATGTATATTTCAGTCCGTAGGCTTTAAAAATGATATTTATGCACGTCGACTCGGCGCTCAACTTCTTTCACAACATTCGTAACGGCATTGACCTAGATACTTAAAGAGGTTAACGGTATTATAACTGTAAAACTAATGATAATCACTTGATTGCAAACAATAATTTTTAACACAGTATGACATTCCTGGAGTGCAATATTTCAATAAATTTGCTCTCTGTGCATTATTTTCAAATTAAATAATCATGGCATTTTAATACTGTTGCCAATAGCAGTATGATAATCAGTAATACACAACGACCAGCTGTTTTTAGGTTATGATCTAGTTTGTGAGTAAGTTGTTGTACAGTGGGGGGTTAGTGAAAGCGTCCGTAAGTTTTGTAGTGAAGGTTCACACAGTGTGCAGGTTTGCAGTTCCAGCCAACCATTCCTGCAACAACTATATGATATACTGTTATGCACTCAAAGGTCCACTGTTATCTACTCAGATATTTTCTCTTAACTTCGTCACTAACTAGCCTAGTGATAGACTAAACACATCTTAAGAATGTGCTGCAGACTGTTTCGTGATTTCGTGATGTTTAAATGATTAAAACAAGTTAAAATGTGGTAATTTTATGGAATATATTGTATAAAAGTTTATTCCGAAGTAGTAACAACTATAAGGCTTTCAGCTAAGTATTCACTTTGAAAGTCTTTTATGATGATCAGAAATTCATGAAAGAACAAATGATAATTACCTTACATTTCTAAACAATTCTCAAGATGTACAACAGAGAACTTATACTCACAAAGGAAGCCAGAAAAAAGTGCAACCTTTAATACAATAACAGCAGGCAGAATAAATAATGAAAAGAAAACTATATGAAGAGTAATATACAGTTAAATTCAACAAATTCAGAGCTGATGTTGTATATAAAGCAGATGAAATAAATGGAATTACTAAAGAAGTTTATATACACGCTGACTGATACCACCGATATATCTTTACTTACTCACTAAACTAATCTAAAGTAGAAAAATAATTTGTTCATGATAGTAAGTTTTCGAATCATAATTTCAGCAGCTTAACACCTGATTTCTCTTTACGAGTACCTCCTCTTAGATTATAATAGTTTCCAAATTATCTTCCGACCAGTATAGGTTTGAGTAAGTTGTTTCACTGCATTTCTGTAATCTTGTTTATGGTTGTTAGGAAATCATTCTATAAAATAAAGTTAGTTTGCACTGCAGAACTTGTTGTCCCTGTCGACAGATTAAACACAGAAGGCATGCTTAGTTTTATTTGAAAGAATATTGACTTTTTTACTGTATACTATGAAACTTATCACGCTGTTTAATGATCCTAAGTTGAAAAAACACGCTAAGACGCCTACAAAAATGTTATTTTTAGTTATGTCTTAAAGTTAGCTATTGGCAGTAAAAATGTACATCAACAGCCATATATTTGCCTAAAATAAAGCCTTAAAATCTTTAGAATATCCCGCTTCTATCTTTTCATTTCATCCTATACCTCTGGCTTTATTGACGACAAGTACCGAATTTGATACAAGTAAAAGGACAAACTATTTGACTTATGAACTAGAAGTACAGCAAGTTTAAAAGGACTTAATGTTGTCCTAACCGCCTTAAAGCTGCAAAATCTAATAGTTTTCATACAGATTACATACGATAATATTCATAAGAGAAAAAAACAAGATTTGCAAGTGTAATAAGTGAAGTAAATGGAGCGGATTGGGAAGCTTTCAGTCATGCAATAAAAC